ACTTTTAATTCTTCACTCCTTTTCTTCTCCATCTCTGTTATTTTTAAAAAATAGACAGTTGATGGATTGCTAGCAGACCAGTGCATTAATCTAATAACTTTTCTCTAAATGTTTATGATAAAAACAGTTCTGTATAATCTTTGTCAGTTCATTTCTTTGTTCCAATGGAACAAACTGCACGATCTGTTATGCAGGCAATCTCTGCAAAAAAAAACCCTATCTTCTTACATCAAGTATGTCCATGCAAGTTAGTACTAAGATATTCAGAAACTGAAGGATTATCTTGGGGACTGCTTGCTCCCATACAGTTTTACTTAGGGATTATAATCAGTTAAAGAGACCTAATTCTTGTTACAATCTCAGGTGATTCAGTGAGCATGAAAATGCTTTTCTTAGGTCAGAGCCCGTGACACCAAATGATAATTGCCATGTTCCCTGTTGATGCCAGATATTATAATGAGATCTTAACAACTAATACTATTGATGCCAGTTTTTATGATTGGCATGTTTTACCTGTGCTATTATTAATTATTTGGTTATGTATTGGTAAGCCTTTGGATTTTTTTTCTTGACCTTGAAATTTTTATTGATTAGAATATATGGTTTTACAACTATATCTTGTACATTGCTTTGGGTACCTTTAGTGAAAGACTGGGATATAAATAATTGATATCAAAATACATAATGTGAATTTAGTAAAATGTATAGAACATCATTCTTATTGATTTATTCACTTATGAGATTTGTCTATCACCCCAAAATAGAAGGACTGAGAAAGAGAGTCAACACTCCAAATTTAGACCAACTCTAGATTTTATTTGCAAGGGGGGGGGATGACCAACGCCATACAACACATGAGGTTTCATCAAACATCCCAAGAAAGACATCAGATCCAAGTGCCTGATTTTACTATCCATTTCAAATGCAAATTCAATATCCAACTAACTCACAGGGTTGTTGTTGTGGGAAGAATGGGAAGAGGAAGGAGTGTTAGATATGTTTGCCACCTTGACTTATTTGTAAAAATATAAATAAATAACTGAGGAACTGAAGCAAGTAATAACTCACTTAAATTGCCAGCAATAGGATTAGTTTACCAGAATATTCATTTATGAATAATAATGCCAAATATATTCTACTCCATAAATGATTTTTAAAAACCTTATTTTAGACATAGTGTTTGATATTTAAAAACTAATCAATTTTTCTTGTAAATTGGATACAGGTTTATTTTATCATTTTTTTATTTACGAGACGTGATGAAGTCAGCTATAGACAAATTTTACTTCTGATTTATTACACTTTAACAGACTTATTACTTTGAACTAAAAAGAAGTAAAAGCTACAATTATGGATATATTTGGAGTTTATTTTATAGTAGACATATTTTAATTCTTATAAAGTTCTCATAACTATCACATGTAGATACAGGTTGCAGAACAGTTTCACACAGGATCTCTTCACTCTACCAGTGTTCATGAAAAGAGACTAAGGTTGCTTGTCATACCTCCCAAAAACTCTGCTTCTATTTAGCATCAGTTGGGCAATGCTAGTAGAAAGTATTTAAAAGAACAGCCTACCTCAAAAAGTAAAGCCTTTAATCCCTATTGCATACACAGGCATACCATTTATCAAAAGCAACATGCCTATCAGGTGGATGACTCAATGCCCTTAGCAAAATAGGCCCGTTTCAATCTTGGATTTTCCTTTTTAAACCTCAGTGAGAAATCCTACACTGAGCAGCAGACTGAGCCAAGCCTTCCTTAGTTCAGCATAAGATGAATAAAAACACAAACACAGCAGCAATGTTCTAGGAAACAGAACTGGGAACTCATATGTACTGCAATTGTTTAAACAGTGTCTGAATTTCACTGCTCAAAGATTAAATACACGAATCATGCTGCATCTGAGACAAAACTACTCTAATAAAAGGCAGTTTCAGGATTACATATGAAGATAAAGTACTTTCTCTGGAGGGTTTAGTGTTGCACATAACAGGGATAAGTAATTTAGTGAGAACAAACTCTTAAGTTGCCGATTTCTGATATCATTCCATTGCTCAGAATCATTCAATTGGTCCAAAAGCCTTCCAATATTCTTTCAAATCTTTTTAAAGGCTTTCAGTTTAATCCTCTAAGTTTAAGTAAACATTACTGCATTTTCCTATATCAACCACTTGCCGCTTTTCTCTTCCCCCCACCCCACCCCCAGTATATTGTTTGCTATTTTAGTTTATGAGCTTTGGGGGACATTTCTCTATCAATTCCTATAAAGGGCAATTATTATATAAATAATTATATGGATATTACATAAATAGACTAGTAAGCTCTGAAGTAATGAAATGAATATACTTGGAAAAGAAAAACACAATTTTATTAAAGAAATGAAGAAGAATTACTTAGTAATTCTGCAAAATATGGCTTGCTTTCAGCAGTTGTTATTTTTAATCAGTGGTCACTTAACTAAGACTGTTGAAGGAAAAGAATTCCAAGGGGAGTATGACAGCTTTTTTTGCCTTCCCTTCCGGTAGCATCTGAGCCTTTAAGCATTTGAATGACAGTGATGGGAGCTCTGAAGAGCCGTAGCTAGTATTATAGCCCACATGTTAAAGGGCATTAGCAAGCAGTGATACATCAACATCAACTAATCATTCATGCCCCTCATTTATTTCCCCAATTGGTTTGGGGAAATCAAGGCAAAGAGAGACCAAAAATTGTTTTCACAGAACTCAAGAAATGCACATATGTATAGATTAATCTATACATTATATATAATTGGACCATTGCTGTCTTCCACAAGTGTTCTTGTAAGAGCTTTGGAAATGTAGAATTTGGACTTTTGGTATTAACTAGGAACAGTACTATAGGATAGCTCATAAAAATATATTATATACCATATCCATTCACTTATATGAATGCACATTTACAAGTACTTTCTAAAGGGATTTATTTCCCAGTAAGTCTATTGAATTAATCTACCAATATTATTTCAAAAATTTAATCTAGCATGATTTACATTTAAACCTGGTCCAATCCATCATATATCAGACTTAAAAGTAATATATATAAGTATATAAAGCTCACATATTCTGTAAGCTGTAGTTCTTGTTTGTGATACCCACAGCCAATTTTTTAAATTAAATTCCCTTTCTAAAAAAAGTCTAATACAGCACAGTACAATTTAATGGTTGGGACTGCTAAATCATCTTTTGTTAGAAAGCAATAAAGTGATGATTTCTAGAGGGACTGCTTGCATGAGTAACAGCCACTCATGCACACAGGGAAACTGCAAGATGAAACCATGAACATTTAGTACCGAACAAGTGTTAGTATTTGGTTTCTTACCCAGGGTAAAAAAAAAAATCCTTTTCAACTTTAAATCCTAGTTGAATTTATAGGTCTGTCTGACAGGCAGATGGAAGTCTAGCAGCCTAGACTCAGATGCCAGTAGCGTATGATGCACTGAAGGACTAAAGCAGTATTACCAGATACTCTTGGGGAGAAAAAATGTACATTCTGTAGCTAAATACATACAGGAAACTTTTATTGTGGTGGGGAAAGGCCAGTAGTGGGAACTGTGCCCAATTAGAATTTATCACAACATTTCTAAAGACCTTAAAAACTGTTGCATTGGAAAAAGAATTCCCATTTCCTCGGTATAAGTTAAAACTATGCATTCAGTGGCTGGCATGCCCTTCAGCAGGTCATAGCATTTAAAATAACTGAACCAGTTACACTATTAAAATATTTTGTCATATTATGAAGACTTCAGTGGGTCTTAAACTAAAACAAACTACTAATGCCAGGAGCTTTATAAGAGCAACCTTTCGGTTATTGATTTGGGTTATCAAACCTATCCTCACTTAAAGAAGTAGATGACAAGTGAGCATGCTGCCTGTCTTCATAACAAATCCTAGGAATAGGACAAATTTGACTCCTGAAGGTACTGTGTGCAATTTTAAAAGTATCAGAATAATTAATTCTGATATATGAATGAGAATGTTCAGAACATCAAACTATCCACTACAGTAGCAAAAAGCATTTAAAATGCCATAAGATAGCATTCACCCTTCTATATAGGAGGAATAGGATTGAAGCTTTAAATAGCTGCATTGCCCCTGCCCCCCACTTAATCAATTTATTACTTGCTTTGCACTCTGTCAATAATTCCTGGATTGTGGAGACTGTATGGGTTACATTTGTAAGCCATAAAAAGCAATTCTACTTATACAGATGATGCACATACACATTAATTCCAACAATCTTTTCTACTTCTAAAAGCACTATGGGTTTTTTTAGATAAGGAAGGGAAGGGGAAGAAGAATGCAGAAAGTGACAGGGGAAAGGGGAACTTAAAAACAGAAACTTGCTGCTGCTAACATCTGCAATGAAATCTTGGTTATTTCTAACAAATGAGTCTAGCTGAACAAGGGTGGAAGATAAATGGATTCATGACTACTCCACGGCAATATTTTCAAACTTTTGCTTCTCTTAAAGAGTTATGAATCAATGAATTCACAATGCAATGATGGTCTTTCTTTTGTTTACTGTATTAGTTTGCTGTAGCTGTTCAGCCTCAACAGTTACAGAAAGGGATGCATCCTTGCTTTTATAAAATTAGGTGAGCCCATCTTGCTCTGCCATCAACACTTTCCACAAGCCAGCTAAGGAATTAAGGATTTTGATTGTACCCAAGTGGGAAATTGGAACGGAGGACCATCACCAGCCCCCTCTTTCACCCTTCCCCAAAGCCTCGTCTGAACACCCCTGCAAACCAGGTAGGTGTACTTTTTATACGCTCCTCTATTTAAGGCCAGAGGAAAGTGACATCGCCGGTGGTCCTTCGAAGCAGGATAAGCGCAAAGGCGCGCGCCGACCCCGGCAATCCGGACCAACCTGCGCCGCAAAAGCATCCGACCCGGCAGCCCGAGGCAGCACTTCCCCGTGGCGGCTGGCTGCCCTGGCAGACCTAGGTTGGTTGGGAGAGCAGCTCTTACTTACGTGTACTGCTGGGGAAAGCTGTAGCCATTCGCGGAGGGAGCCGAGACGAGGAAGCCTAGCAGGATTTGGCCGTAGAGAGCCCGGACGAGGCAAGATGTGCCGCAGGTCTGAGCCGAGATCGCCATTTTTCCATTAAAAATTCAGTGGCGGCACCAATTTTCTCCCCCCCACCCCACTCCCCTCTCCCGCCCGGTAGCGGTGGCGGCGGCGGTGGCGCTTGGCTGCCGAGACGCGCTGGCTCCTGCTCGGGCTGGCAATCTGCTCGGGTCTTGGAGGCAAGCAAACAGGCGCTCTGAGGACTCCCCCCTCCCACAGCTCCTTCCCGCTTATTCCAGAAAAGCGAACCGGCAGCTCAGCAAAAAACCCCTCCTCCTTTTTTTTTTTTTTTTTCCCCCTCTCGCAACGAAATGCCACCGGCGAAGCAGTTCGCAGGGGACGGGGAACAGGCAGCTTCGCGCGGCGAGCTCTCAGCTCCGTTGAGGCAGGCACTGAGCAAATGCAAACTGCTTACTTTCCCTCACATAGGCGACCTGCCCAGCCTCCTCCCCTCACTTCCCTCCTCCCCATCTCTCGGATCCGAACGCTCTCCATCCTCGGCGGCTGCCACCGCCACCACCACCACCACGGCGCATGCTCTCTAGGTAATTGGCTGATAAACGAGCGCTCTCGCTCTCTGGACCTTTTCTTCAGGCCCAGGCGGTCCGTGTTACGCGCGCTCTCCAACGCATGGCGCAGTCAACCTTACTTTCTTGCAGGAGCTGGCCGGCGCGCGCACCTATCTCAACAACCCCCCCACGTTCCCCCCCCCCCAGCACGTGGCGCCGTCGGGCCTATTTCTAAGGCTGCTGGTATTTTGGGGGGGGGCACGTGACCGGTCCTTCTAAGTTGGGTTTCCTTCGACCCTTGGCAGATGCGTACATCGCTTCGGACCGCTTATGGGTCTCTCCGGGTTTATCCAGTCCACTTGAAACGGTATCTGCACTAGTCTCTCTTTAAATCCTATGGCAAGACTACCGCCAGAACATCTTCTCTGGGGCTCATTGAGCTACCACCTGCAGAATCAAATTGATCCCTCAGCTGCAAGCTTTTTCCGGGAAGCGAAGCTTTATATATAGCATTTCGGAGAGAATTTTCTACTCCAGCGCTCTGTAGAGCCTTCACCTGTCAGAAACCCCTTGGAATGCTATTATTACCTTGAGTGTTTGCACTCCCTGCAGCTTCTCATGTGCAGACCCTCGATTGATGACATGGGGAGATTAGTGACATCTGGGGCTTTAAGCTTCCAAAATTATTTGAAATTGAATGTTGCACCCAACATATAGGAAGTTCACTATTGCCCAGTAATGAGAATTATTTGGGCAATGCTATTGCTACTCTCAAAGATGATGCTAAATACAGCAAATGGATTAGTTAATGTACTTTTAATTTGCTGGGCTTTCAAAAAGATTCTTAGAATAGCCATATGTGAACCCTGCCTGCAGATTTACAATTTAAAAAAGACATGACATTGGATACAAAAAAGTAGGGGAGGTGGAAGAGAAAACAAAGGTATGAATTCTCAGTGTGAATTATTGGATCTTAAATAATGATCCATAGTAGTAATTATAATATTTAGAGAAAGTTTGATGAAGCTGCTCTTGACAGTAAAGCCATGAAATGACCTAGCCATTTCCCTCTGATACAGCTGAATGACAGTCTTGTTTTGGGTGACTTGAGAAATGTATGTATGTATGCATGCATGCATGTAGCTAGATTTTTAAGGCTGACTGACTAAACAGATTTGGCTGATCTTGAAAAGTTTTGCCGGGCAGGATCAGACCTGATTAATGAGAGACCATCAGAAAATGCCAAGGCTGTGGGAAATCTTTAAAAAATCCCAAAAGACTACAGTGGCAAACTACAGGTAGTCCTCGATTTATGACCACACATTTGTTAAGTGAGTTTTGCCTCATGTTATGAACTTTCTTGCCACAATTGTTAAGTGAATCACTGCAGTCGTTAAATTAGTAACAGGGCTAAGTGAATCTGGCTTCCCCATTGAGTTTCCTTGTCAGAAGGTTGCAAAAGGTGATCGCCTGACCCCAGGAAACTCTGACAGTCATAAATAAGAACCAGTTGCCAAATGTCTGAATTTTGATCACGTGACCATGGGATGCTGCAATGGTCATAAGTGTGAAAAATGGTCATAAGTCTATTTTTTCAGTGCTGGTGTAACTGAAAAGTCACTGAATGAACTTCTGTAAATCAAGGACTACCTGTATTTCCTCACTGTTTTCAAAATAGTTGAATTTAACAAAGAAGAGAGACTTCATTCTTTTAACCAAAAAGAGCTTAACTCTGAATTTTAAAAGATTGTCTTCCACCAAATTTTAGTAGATATATACAATTATATGCACATTCCACTTATTAATTTTTTCTTATGGATTTTAGTGCTATTGTCTCATTTTTTTACTTCTTATCTCTTTTCATCAGTTCTCTTATTGTTCTTATCTTAGTTGTTTTCCTGACTTTCTCTTCACAAAGTTCAACCTATTATTTCAATGCAAATAAATAATCTTTGGTTCTGTTTGTGTGTGGAGTTAGAAAGTCAGCATTTCTTAAATACCAATTCACAAATTACTTTTATGTGCACTCATGCCTCCCTTCCATTCTCAGCTGAAATTAAAATGATGCTCCCATTTAAGAAATAAATTTATACTGCCAGGTAAATAAGGTAGTTTATCTGCTTCTATTACCTTGGATGGCATAAATCTCCAAATGTTTAGGCATTTTAACCACAAGGAATATGTTTCATTTCACCTAGCATCTATGTTTGGGAAACATTGTCTGCATTTTTTTTTATTATACAACATTAAAAAGGTCGTTTCAAAAATACAAACTATTATTATGAGAATTATAATAGGCAGGAAGGGTTGTTTTTTTTAATTTATAGACTAAGATTTAAAAATGTTCTTTCAAGTTGAGCTTTATTCCTGGTGACATCACCATGCAGAAGGGTGTGACATAGATATGGATGGGATTTGCCATTGCCTTCTTTCAGGGTATTTTTTCCACTACAGGCCATAACTTCTGTAATGGTCTCCCATCCATGTATCATCAAAACTCAACCCTACTTAGCTTCCAGTTTCTAACATCTACTAGAAAATTTTCAAACTTGGTTGCTGAAAAGCCTACAATAGGGAGCAAGTGCAGTTTACTTAGAATTTTAGTGATTCTAGTGATTTCAAGTAGACTTGTCCATTTTTTTTTTTGCGAACTGTTACAACTCTACATTAGCTACATTTATGTAGCTAATAGGGGTTTTGAAGAATGCTTCCCCCCCCCCTTCTAAGTCATAGATAGTAAGGCTATCAGATAAGGGCTATAGAAATCCAGGAAACCATTAAATGGCCACAAAAAGATATAGAAAACTCTAATTCTTTACTGCCCTCTATTTGTTCTTTTCAATCAAAATCTGTTAACACTAATAAATAGTGACTACATTTAGCACTCACTTAACAATGAACAAATGTAACATCTTCAGGACTTAGTAACATTTAAAGCACTAAAAACAGAAAAGTTTAGCATCAATGAATCACAAAGTAAGGAAGAAAAGGTGCATACCTATCTCCTGAGTAAAGATGTAAAAATGACTTCACCTTAGCCTACTAAACAAATCTATTGCTTCAAGGGATTTTCTTTTAATGGTGCCACCTCAAGAGCTGTCCTATTTATTGCAAGAATCAAGTGTTGCCTCTGGAAATAGAAGCATACTTTTCACTTGTCTTGCTGGAGCCCAGCTATAAGAGCAGAAGGTTGGCATGGTTTTAGCATTCCCTCCACAAATTAATCCTGCCTATGTCAGTTAACAAAGTGAGTGACAAACGAATTAAGTTGAACAGCTATTTAAAAATATCCTCCTCCAAGCTTGCAAGCATCTCTTTGATCTGTTTAGGTTTACTTTCCTCTTGGTGTCACAAAGAAAGAAATGGCAACATGCTCTGAATATTAAGACACTGTAATTAGAAATCTTCCATTAAAAGCACCCATCTACTTGAATAGGAATATATTAAGAATCTTTTACACTTAGACCAATTTGACTTACAAAAGAGGAGGGTTATGTATTTCTGTAGTTAATTAGTTATGAAATATATACAGCCACCAACTATACAGTGATTTACTGTTTCACTTTACAATGTACAGTAAATATAATTTGTTTTTTAAAAAATCCCCAAGTGCCAGAAGAAAAAAATATCAGATGTGACTCAAGCATGCAAGGCCCATTACCCACTGGAGGAAGAGAGAGATTTTTAGAGCTTTTTTGAGCTTCTGCAGGGTTGCGACTAGATTAGGGGGGGGGGATTAATGTTCCAGAGGTCAAGTGTTGCATCAGAGAAAGCATGGTTCCTAGGTCCCTTCAGATAAACCTGCTTAGTGAATAGATCTTGTGGCATTTACCCCAATTGTACAGGCCAGGCAGTAGTCACAGAGCAATGCGATTTTTAAATAACCTAGCCATGAAAGGTTCTACAAGTAATAATCCATGTCTTGAATTGTACCTAAAAACCTAATGCTAACCAGTGCAGCTCATGAAGCAAATTGGTGGTGGGATTCAAAAATTTTTACTACCAGTTCTGTGGGCATGGCAAGGCTTGGTGGGCATAGTACCCCTCCCCCTCTCATTTGTGATCTTGTTCAGGAGGGGGGAGCGGACCTGGCAGGTATTACGGGAACCTGGTTGGGCCAAGAGGGGGGGTCCCTCTCGTTGAAATGTGCCCACCAGGTTTCCACGCATTCCATCAGCCGAGGTTCCAGGGTAGGGGTGGGAGGGTAGCGGTTATTATTAACGAAGGTCTGAGACCGAGGGAGGCCACTGTTCCTCAGATGGCCGGCTGTGAATCCCTCCTTGTGAAATGGGGTCACGGGGTTCAGATGGGTTTGCTGATCATGTACCTGGCTCCCTGCCGTGTGGCAGCAGCCCTGCCCGAGCTACTCAGCGTCATCGCCGCGGTGGCGGTTGAGACCCCTAGGCTTATGGTCATGGGGGATTTCAACTTGCCGTCCATGGGTGAGGCATCTGAGGTGGCTCGGGAGTTCATGGCTTCCATGACAGCCATGGACCTGACCCAGTTAATTCATGGCCCTACCCACACGGGGGGAAACACGCTGGATCTGGTTTTTGTCTCTGGACAAAAGTGATCTTGAGTGATCTTGAGATAGGGGATATAGTTACTGAGCCCTTGTCATGGTCAGATCACTCTCTCCTTCGTCTTGACCTCCGAACCGCTGCACCCCGCAGCAGGGAGGCGGAGCCGGTAAGATGGTTCCGCCCCAGGCGCCTGATGGAACCTGATAGGTTCCAGATGGAGCTTGGGCCATTTCCTGAGGCTCTGGCACACGCCTCGGCTGGAGACCTAGTGGCCGCCTGGGATAGGGCGGCCGCTGGAGTTCTGGACCGGGTCGTGCCTTTGCGGCCTCTGACCCGGCGCCGATCTCATTTGGCTCCTTGGTTTACCGAGGAGCTAAGGGAGTTGAAGTGCCAGAAAAGACGCCTAGAGAGTAGTTGGAGGGCCAGTCTTTCAGAATCAGACCGGACTCTGGTAAGATCTCATATTAGGAATTACCTAGTGGCGATAAAAGCAGCGAAATGTAGCTATTTTGCTGCTCTTATTGCATCATCAGATAACCGCTCGGCCGCCCTGTTTAGGGTGACCTGCTCCCTGCTCCACCAGGAAGCGCGGGAGGACCCCTTGGAGGGTAGAGCCGAGGATTTTGTTCAGTATC